TATTGACCAATATCATCAACAAAAAATTGTCGAGAAGGATAAACAGAGAAGTCAATACACAGAATCAKAGAAAAATGTAATGATTATTATCATACGTACCACTTCCTTCAACAAATTGTGTACAATAAATTAYAATGCTCAAAAACCACAACATATTTCGAAATTTCACCACGACGTCCGCCATGTTGTTTATGTGAGCCCACGAGGTCAGCACAGAATAAACYATTTAGCATGCGCACTGCAAGGAACGCCTGGGCAATAACGAGATTTTGCAGTCAAATTCAGTCAAATATCAATTTTGAAAGAAAGCGTAGACTCTTCTTCAGATAACTATGTAAATAAGGAGAAAATACCGATATGGTACGGTTTAAGAAAAGGTAAGAAATCTTTTTGTTTTTTTTCCATGAAAGTTTTAGCCTGTGTACATCCGTTTCTCACCCCTCAAAAAATCGATTTTTTGAGGGGTGAGAAACGGATGTACACAGGCTATGAAAGTTTTCGTTCATTTTGATGTAATTTTCCGCAATTTCTCTTCACSCTGTCAAGGTACACTTTGGCTGAGATTTCGTTCCACGATGGTATGGTTGACGAATCGCTATCTAGGTATATCATACAAGATTCTATTAAAGGTGCTGTAAAGGAAGTTTACGGTGATTATGGATTGGCATGCATATCAATGTCATTAAGAGGTAAACATTACTAACATAGCAGAATTTTACAGTTAGCTCTTCATCATTATCATTACTAATGTTATCAGCATCATAATCCAGTCCAATCAAATTAATAGTATCATTACTGTCTCTACAATCCTCATCCCTCTATCTATATTAATAATCTGTATTTTAAATTCATTTATGTTCATTGTTTTTACAGTTAAATACCTCAACCCTCTCACCAATGTAGTGTTTATTGCATGTAGTAGAGACTATTWCAGAATGCTGCTATGTTCTCTTCCATTTATTAAGAGTCTCAATAAAAGACCATGTATTTTTAAAACTTTACATATTGGAGGTATGTTGATCATTTTTGGAGTAGCCAAAGTATGCTATTGAGTAATTAGTAAGAAGAGTGCAAGACAAACCCCAGCCACACCCCTCCCTACCTGGGGATCAGAACTTTTGGACTATCAGAAAATGTGTTACCTATTGACTATTGTGTGACCTATTTACTATTGACTCATATCTCAAAGATTTCTGGAACCCTGACCTGCTTTATGAGTCTTAATGCACTCTCCTAGGTTGAACACCACCAGCCCTCCCCCAAGAATTTTGTGGGTAACATAATTAAATCATTAGTTGCCCAACGCACCCCTTCAAAGGAACACACATTCCCAAAAACCATATTTCCTCTATGAGTGGATAAGATGCAATGTTGTCATCATTATCCTCAACTGGATGACAGACCTTTCCCATTGCTCAGACCTCAGCCAGCCTTGATATTGGTATAGTATAGTAATGGAGTATTTTACATGTTGCAGGGACAATGAGGTCATGTCAAAAGTTCCTAGTCAACCACAACAAAGTACAGYTAATGCAAATGCTTGACCAATGCAAAACACCAGGTGAGTTTTAGATTACTCTTTTTTTAACTTMAAATAATATCAAAATATTATTAAAAATATCTTCTTACTATTCCAATGTTTGTATTGTCATTTTAGCTGATAAAAAGAAAATTTCKTCCATTATTGACTCTGCAACAACAGAAGCCACAGCTTTAGATCCAGTTTCAACTTGGAAAAGACGAACAAATGTTAAAGTTAAAGTTAGAGAAAGAGATAAGGATGGAATAAGTGACAGTGACAGCAATTAAAAACAATCATACATGGAAACAGGAAATGTAGTCTTCACATACAACTGTCTCTAGAGGAACACATAAAAAAGTAATCACCACACCACAATAATAAAAATATATATTATTTTATTCACACCATAATAATTTGTAGTTAATGATTTGTGATTGAATAGTATGACATGATAATGCTATTGAACTCAATAAAACCTAATATTTATAAAAATGTTGACTATAATGTTTGCAAGTAACCTATTAATATTGTTTTTAATAAAGAATGTCTGAATTAAACGTTAATCATTTTAAAAATTATTGATTATTGTATAATAGAGTAGACTTCCTATGACTGTGCAAAAAAATACTGCACTTTTGTGTTGTGTTTGTACTGTGCTGTGATGGTGATGTATTCTCAACTTCTTATTTTTATTTGGATCATTACCAGGTGAGGTTCCGTGCCGTGCCATGTCCGTGTTGTGATCCATGCCTTTGCACAGTCATACGAAATCTGCTCTATTGTGCAGTGTACGAACACAATTTGACATTGTTTGATTTTTGAAACTTTCATAAGTACATATTGTATGTAATGTAACTATCATAGCATTATTAATTTTTGAATGAGAAGATTTCTAATGTATTACTTTCATAGTAATGAAATAAAAAGTCAATAAAATYGGATACAACATACAAAAAGGCATTTTTAAACCTACAGAGGAATTATAACTACATTTCAGCTTGACATTATTAAAAGCTGGGCATTTCTTTTTAGTGTTTAGTGGTTCTTTTGTCTCAATATGTGCACATGTACCATTTACAATGCGAAATGCTCCAGCATCATACACATTATTAGTGATGTGACAGTTAAAGTTGTAAAAGTAAGATTGTCTGTAGTCACTCCAGTTTTCAATGACCAAAAGATAAAGGTTTGTCTTTGGCAGACTTGCAAGGTAGTATGTTCCATTCCGACATGGTCCATCWATTTTTCCTGAGATGATCTTATCTGAACCTGAAAAAAGAGAACAAGACTAAGGCAAACAGCCAAAACAAATCAACCAACCAAAAAATTAATCAAGTAAGAAACTGTGTTTGACCATAGACTATGGAAATGACAAGCACTCAGCATCATTATTTTTACTGAAATACCAGATAATCATTCACGTAAAAAAGTAGAATTTTATCTTTCTCAAGTCAAACATTCAATTTCATTTCATTTGAAAAAAAATTCCATGACAGACAGAAAAAGATTGCAGTATACATAAGCAATCTTACCCAGTGACTTATCATTAGATGAGTAACCAACWACATCTTGAATGCAGCCAAATTCATTTCTAAAGGGAGGAATTGGTCCTTTATCCTTGTAGTAATCATCTTCTTGTTCAGGGGTTTTGAGTAGTCCTTCCAAAGTCACCTGAAAAACACCAAAATATAATTACCAAAAACATTTTATACAAACTTTTTTTTTTTAAATCCCCAGAACTTTTCAAGAACAAAAATGCAATGTTCAATGAATATTTTTTGATGTTTGTRGGTATTTCTGGAGGGGATTCTTAATAAGAGTGTCAATTTCATTAGATTCAGGGAGTATTCCTAGGAGTTTTAGCACTTCACGTCTTTTCAAGTGCCCTTGAAACTCCTTTCGATTCCAGCTCCTTCCTGTCAATAATTTCAAGCAGCACAAACACTGTGTGTACATGATTCAGTGGAAAAACAAGTGACAACTTACACGCTCTGGGAATGAATGCATTGCATAAATATTTTTCTGTTCTCTAACTCACCTTAGTTGCATAGGGTGATACACTACACACCCCCTGGAAGTCAATCCTCAAATTCTGCTCAAAGAAGCCTCTCTGTATCAACAACTTCATGATGTCACCCTCCTTACGCCCAAGAGACACTCTCTTGTACTCCCTCTCATCTGTAGTACTGACTGTCAAGAAACTTGGATCAGTGACCAGGTTTGCAAGATTGTCAATCAAATAGCATTTAGTTTGACAAGTATGAGTGCCATCAGGACACTTGTAGCTTGATCCACATGACCGTTCGTTATCAGGTGCCTTCATGAGTTTGTACACTTGGCTGTGGAAGTCGTTGTACAAGATATCAAGTGCTGTCACAGCTTCAACATGGTCACCAGCACAAAGAGTCAAGTTGGAGGGATAGGCTCTGCACTTTCCTGATAGACACTGAGTGTTGCTGGAAATACAACAAGTTAGGATCAGAAYATCTATTTTCACACAGAAGCAAAGAAAGTTATTTGAGAATGAATGAAGAGGAATGATGGGCCATACCAGATAGACACTGAGTGTTGCTGGAAATACAACAAGTTAGGATCAGAAHATCTATTTTCACACAGAAGCAAAGAAAGTTATTTGAGAATGAATGAAGAGGAATGATGGGCCATACTTTACTTTAATGATCTGTTTTTATTATCAGTCTCTAGTTTTTGCCAACATCATCACAAGAGTGAATGAGCGTATTTACATAACTAAGTTAGAAGGCTAGTAAACCACTGGTGTGTGGATTACAGTAGGTGTGAATAATGCAAAGTATCTATTTGAGAATGAAGACTGTTTGGCTACCTTGTGCAAGCACATCCTCCTCTAAGATTATCATCTCCAGTACAATTGAAACCAGAAGCATTGAGACCAGATKGYAATCCTTGGAATAGAGCTTGTGATATAGTCACCACCTTACCAATACCGCTTGCATCCAAGTATGCATTGGATACTGATGTCTTTGCAGGATTAACTAACGTGCGCTGATACCAAGATCGCCTATAAATATATAATTTATCTGATTTTCACCATTAGAATGTACTAAGTGACTTTCCAACATCAACGAGAAAAATTGGTGTAAGTTATGTCTTATGTACTATGTTGGACCACCTGTTAAAAATTCCCTTTAAGATATTATCAGAAAATAACATCTTTTCTAGTTGAAAAACAAAATCATTTACAAGAATGCATGACCTAGACCACAGTTTCTGGTCTACGTGAACTGATGATTGACATACTTTGTTGGATCATAGTTACGTCTTGATCTGTGTCCAGGAAAAGACCTAAATACTCCATTCCTAGTACCAACATAGGTCCAACGGACATCTTTTAGGATTTCATGATTTCTTGCAAGCCAAGTTTTCTCAATCTTTCCWGTCATCATCACATCAGATCTATGAATAAAAAGAGACAGACAATATAACTTGCCAATCAGTGGTTCTCAAAAGTGTGATAAAAAGGTTTATGCTAGGTAATGTTATGTTGTTATGTTACATGTACATGTGTATGTTATGTTTTGTTAAGTTATAGTATGTTTTGTTGTKTAATATGTTKTGTTGTGATGTGTTGTGTTATGAACAACATTTATCATAGAGTCCATTATGTACAAGTGTTCTTTTTGACTTCTTKAGGTTTTATTTGTGATTTTTGTGGTTGAGTAACYGAAGTGATAATTAAAACTGAAACTGATATTGGCTCCCTGTGCCACCATTTTATCTCTAACCACTGTMMGTATTACCTGACAGCATTGCTGAATCGTCCATTAGGGCATCCTGTAGAATTTGTCAAGCCATTGATAACCTTATGTCCTTCAATCATTATGTTAGTCAAGTTGTAATGGAAGAAGTAGTCGTTAGGATGACAGTAAGACTTTGGAGCCAGCATGACTGTGGTGTGATCACGAGTAATATGGATATTGGGATACTTTTCTGTGTTGTACTTTACACCAAGGCTGTCATACAAATCACCTAGAGCCTAAAAACATGCAATATATTAGTCAACTATAAGTCAAATACATTAAAACTTGTTATGATTTTCATAAGAATCTYAATGACCATCATGGCACTCGCCTAAAAGTTGGGATGTATGCAATATGACATACTGACTAATAATTGATATAACAATAAATCATTGTGTGATACTTATGAATACTWTTATTCAAATAATGATGATGACCACTTGTAATAACATTATAGATGGCAATAAAATGATAAATTACTTTTTTCAATTTTTTTTGTTTTGCTTTGTTTTGTTTTTTTCAAAACCAGTATCAAAAATCTAAAAAGGAGTCATCGTCCTTGTTGCAAGTTCACAATGATCTTTGGTCATAAAAGCCAAGAACATTGAACAAAGAAAGAGGTTTTCATACCTTTCTGACAGGTTTGGAGTCATAACCCTCAATATTATGAAAGTAATTTTCAGGTAAATCAGAAACATCCTTTGGTCTGTAAGGATACCTGAACTCTGCATCAGAATCAGCTAAGTTAAATGCAAAGGCATATACGGAGTCACTTATTGATGCATAGTAATATGTTGAAGGTATTGTAGCAAGAACAACTCCATCTTGAAAATCACCCTTTGGCATACTACGAATGGCATCTTCTATTCTCATGGACCCTGTCTTTCCATTTATCATGGCTTCTTTTACTTTGGTGAATTTTGCTGGTTTACCATGTCTCTGCTCCAAATCATCAATCTGGATGAAGATTGGGTCATCCACAAGCTTGAAAAATGATGGCAATAAAACAACTTAGTTTATGATGATACATAGGGCACTTTAACTAAATGACAGAAAAGTTAATAAAATAAAGAAATACAAAGAGAGAAGAGAGAAAATCAGAAGGCGGTCAGGAACAAAAAAGAGCTAAAAAAACAAAAGGAATTAACAAACAAAGGAAATTAAAGAAGGGAAAGACAAAAAATTAAAATGAATAGATATAATAGTCCATTTAAATTATTATACCTCTGAACTTGGCCTGAGTAAAGGATGAAAGATAGTCTCTCCCTCTTCATTGATCAAGAAAGCGTACACAGAGCCCCACTGGTCATTCAACAATACGTTCTCAATT